TAAGTCCAATTTAAAAGTGTTTTAACCCAAGAAGTCCATGAATGAATTTTTTAACCCATTTAGTCCCATGTATGTATAGTTTTATTCCATAAAGTCCATTTTCTTGATTTACACTATTTTCTTGGACACTTATGCCCTTATATTTAATTTTGATACCCTTATAAATATTTTTTGAACGATTAGCAATTTAATGATGTGAACATTCATATTTTAAAATTCACATTGGTAGGAATGTAAAATTGGCCCGTGGGCGGCCCGAAACCCGACCCGTCGACAATGTGAATATTCACATTGACATGTTAACATTCACATTGATAAGAGTATAAAACTAGACAGCAGCCCAGGGCGGGCCCGACTCAGCCCGGCCCGGCCCGTTGACAATGTGAATATTCACAATCATGACTACAGCTAAGCTGACAAACCTCGCAAGCAAGCTCATTCAATGAAAGCTTACTTCTAATTGATATATTTGCTACCAGTTTGGATCATGTCAACCCATCAAGAACCATTAATCCAAGAATTGTCTATGACCTTGAACACAATGATTACATACCTTACTTATGCAATCTAAACTACACTGTCCAAGACATCAATTTCAAGACAAATCATATAATGAAGTGCTCAAAAGTATCCAAAATACTAGAAGCATAGCTAAATTATCCTTCGTTTTTTATTACTCTTGGTTGAAAATGATCAGACTTATACGAGGACTGTGACAAATGTTGGAGAGGCTAATTCGTCTTATGATTCTATCATTGTTGCACTACCAGGTGTTAATGTGACTCTTAATACCACTAGGTTAGAGTTCTCCAAAGTGAACCAAAAAATGACGTATCATGTAGCGTTTAGTTGGGTAGCTACCAAAGGATACGCCTCTTTCATCCATGGATTTTTTATGTGGAAATCTAATAATAGCAAGCAATTTGTTAGAATCCCGATATTTGTGAAGTTAGTGTGAGGAAAATGAGGAAAAAGCTCAAGCAACCAAGTCGCAAAATCTTGGGACTTCAATTACATAAAAATTTACTTCTATATCATCTTCTTGTGCTCTGAAATATTTCAATTACATATTGCTTCAAAAAATATTAAGGAAGAAAGAAGTGAGGTGGAGTTCAATTGAGTAGTGTTTCTTAATGAAAGGTGTTCCAAATCAAAAGTGTTTCTCAATCTTCATTGATAATCTTCCTAAGCAAACTTACAGTTGGTGGCTTAGAAGAGTTTTTAATAGATGTGGGACGATTGCGGATGCTTTTATTCCTTTCAAGAGACACAGATTTAGTAATAGTAAGTTTGGGTTTGTAAGATACCTTAAGAAAGAGGAGGTCGACGAAGCCATTCGTTCATTCAATGGTGTCTGGTGGCGAGGTCATTTACTAAAGGTGAAAAGAGCAACCATTCTCTCTGGGAAAAAATTGATTTGGAGAAAGAAGACTCTTTTGCCTCATTCTCTCTCCCCAAAAGGCAACCAAATTTGGAGGCATAAACAAGACCTCGAAGACCAGTCACCGTATTTTATAGATGGAGTCGAAGTTAACCCAGATGGTTCTTCTTTCACTGTTGAAGTGGACGAAATTGATGACTCTTGGGGAAAGACTTGTGCGGTTAGTATAGTTAGAGATTACAAAATTATTCCTATGATCGAGGAAGCAATGAGAAATGAAGGGGTCAATTTCGTAATTGTGACGCCCCCAAAAATATTAAAATGAATTCAACTCATAAGATAAATGAGCATAATAGAATTGTTATATTTCCAATCATCAAAATTCGTCTTACGAAAGACAATACATGCAATATACATTCATAAATGTCCATCCTGAATCTATAGCATGTAACATTATTTAAAGTTAACAAAATAAATGCTCTATAAGCTTACATCTTTCCAAGATATGACTTGGTTACAGCAAAAGGGAGAGTCAAATGTTCTGTACATATTAAGCCCGAGGCTTGAATAAACATTTAAACATTTAACTAACAAAATAGAGCCTATGTCCTCCCAAGCTACGCCCTTGAAGGAAGCATGTCACCAGTACTTGAAAGTGGTTTCCCAAGTAGGGTGAGCCAAAGCCCAGTAGAGATAATCTAACACAATATATGAGGTTTAACTAAGATATAAGTGTCAGATAAACGTTCAATATTTATGACCACATTACATTCTTCCCACGACCGTTCAGTACTGATACTCACATTTCAATCCATTTCCACTTATTCATTTGGTATAAATTCATTTCATTCAAGTCATATACCAACTGTATAATTTTTTCCAAATAACCCAACCGAGACTACAACTCAGTGGTTCTATTACATAACTATCATACAAACACTTCAACCTTGCCATTTTACGAATATTTCATCTGCGAAAATTGGCACCCATGTATACATAAGACTATCGAAAATAAAAAGAATTCCAGATTGACATTTAATGTGATTTTGGGTACCTCAATGTCTTGTCCTTACCTCAGTGGCATTATGGCCTTGCTCAGAAGAACGCATTTTGATTGGTCGCCTGCTGCTATCAAATTTGCAATCATGACTACAGCTAAGCTGACAAACCTCGCAAGCAAGCTCATTCAATGAAAGCTTACTTCTAATTGATATATTTGCTACCAGTTTGGATCATGTCAACCCATCAAGAACCATTAATCCAAGAATTGTCTATGACCTTGAACACAATGATTACATACCTTACTTATGCAATCTAAACTACACTGTCCAAGACATCAATTTCAAGACAAATCATATAATGAAGTGCTCAAAAGTATCCAAAATACTAGAAGCATAGCTAAATTATCCTTCGTTTTTTATTACTCTTGGTTGAAAATGATCAGACTTATACGAGGACTGTGACAAATGTTGGAGAGGCTAATTCGTCTTATGATTCTATCATTGTTGCACTACCAGGTGTTAATGTGACTCTTAATACCACTAGGTTAGAGTTCTCCAAAGTGAACCAAAAAATGACGTATCATGTAGCGTTTAGTTGGGTAGCTACCAAAGGATACGCCTCTTTCATCCATGGATTTTTTATGTGGAAATCTAATAATAGCAAGCAATTTGTTAGAATCCCGATATTTGTGAAGTTAGTGTGAGGAAAATGAGGAAAAAGCTCAAGCAACCAAGTCGCAAAATCTTGGGACTTCAATTACATAAAAATTTACTTCTATATCATCTTCTTGTGCTCTGAAATATTTCAATTACATATTGCTTCAAAAAATATTAAGGAAGAAAGAAGTGAGGTGGAGTTCAATTGAGTAGTGTTTCTTAATGAAAGGTGTTCCAAATCAAAAGTGTTTCTCAATCTTCATTGATAATCTTCCTAAGCAAACTTACAGTGGTATTTTGGTCTTCTTATCTCAAATTGGACCTAATGGAATAGTCAAAAAGAATATGGGTTGGATGGAATAAAGCTCTTAGAAAATGGATTTATCAAAAAAGCTCCCTTTTTTTTAAGTCAATATTTTTAAAATTTTAAATAATTTTTTTACTTTTTTAAATATACCTTACTTAGGTTTGTGATTTGTTTGGATTAAAATAATTAATAAAAATAAAATAGATTAAAATAATTAATAAAATAAAATATTATATTGAAGTCAAAATTATTTTATTTTTTCTCTTATAACTAGCAAATCAACTATAAAAATAAAAATAAAAACAACCGTCATCTAAAACATAATTTTTTTAATCAAATTAAAATAGTTCAATAATCAAAAGGCCAACTACAATAATCAAAGTTTCCAAAGGGAGCCATAATAATGATGTTGAGGCTTTGGCTAGTTAGCGTACGGTTGCAAACATGAATGGGATTTTGCATCAGTCTCGTCAACAAACATTCAATTGGAGTTTGAAAATGCCTTTTTAGCAATTTTGTTTAAACTTTTTTTTTTTTTTTTTTTTTTTTTTTTGACATTATGTTGTGTCATTGATAATATGCTTAGTTAAATTAAATAAATTCATATTTGAAAAAAAAAAAAAAAAAAAACAACTGGAAAAGGTTCTCTAGAAGAAGGTATTTTTTTAGCTAATCTCAAACAGAAGAGGCTTTCAGGTAGCTATTAAGAAAGTTGAAAAAATTTGTTCATTTTTTATTACACACTTTCATACAAAATGAATAATTTCTTTTTAAAAAAAAATTAAATAAATAAAAAAGAAGAAGAAGAAGAAATCATCTTAGCTCCAGGCTAAAATAGTAAAAAAGTCAACCTACTTCTTAATATTCTTATAACTTCTCAAATCCTCAAGTTTGGTTAGTTTGGAGTTTTGCATCACTTTGTCTGCACCACATTAGAATTGGGAAATCTCATTGGAATGTGGCAAAATTCTTTATTCTTTTTTTAAGGTGAGTTTTGGATGTCTAATTTATATAATATTATTATTAAGAAAATTACAGTGGTAGTTTTCGTAATGGTTTTTTTTTTTTTTTGGTCCCTATAATTCTAATTACAATATTATTATTCTTTCATTTTGCATTTTGTGTCTAAACAGGTCCAATTGATAACAATCATAATACCAAACACTCTAAAATACTTTTCATTTAGTTAATTGAATAAGTCTTAGACAATAGTTTTCAAATTGAAATAAGGTTGCTTGAAAAAACAGTTAACCATCCATGTGTCTAAACTACCCCTAAAATTACACCAATTACATCCCATACGTCAAGTCCTATGATGAGAACGTAATTACATTTGGACTTTAAAGCCATTGATGTTGCAATCAAAATTTACCTAATTGGATCAAATTGCTTCTATATTTTGCTTGAACCACCAAAAGTTCTATGATGACTTTTTTGTTCCATTTATTTATTTATTTATTTTGATGGCTAACTCTAGCTGTTAGATAACTATGTTTTGATTAATATATTCAAACCCTAAATCAAATTACTTGTCAAAAAATTTTGGTTCTTATTCTCACGCAATCGTGCGAAAGGCGAGGATTTTTTTATATACATAAGACCTTATGGAAAGGAATTGCATAACAAACACAAAGCGACAGACTGTATTATAAAACATTTAAAAAAAAAAAATACCAACATTCTAAGGAGAAACTAAAGCACTTCTCATATAAAAAGAGAGAGAGCTTATTCTCATCTTTGTCTCTTTTGTCTCTTCATCTGTTGTTTTGGTTGGGCAATGGCAATGGCTCGTCCTTTGTTCTTGCTAGCTTGTGCTTTAGCTTTTCTAGCTTCTTCACTCTCCTCTGCTGCAGTTGTGGAGCATACTTTTCATGTAATCTATCCCGTCTTACATATTTGCATGTTTTTTCAAACTTGTAATGTTAAATTTGGCTACATATTGATTTCATTTACGTTGTTTCAGGTGCAAAACTTGACTGTTCAACGGTTGTGCCACCAGCATGTCATTACTGCAGTAAATGGAAGCCTTCCCGGCCCAATAATACAAGTTCACGAGGGTGACACGCTCGTTGTTCATGTTTTTAACAAATCTCCCTACAATCTTACCATTCACTGGTAATATTGCTTTTTACAAATTAGACAAAGTGTGATAGTATTTTGTTATTTTATTGTGACTGAGTATGAGAGTTAATGAAACGTTACACCAAATAATTTATATCTAGATCTTTTTCATTATCACCCATCCCTTTGAAGATGTACCTTGACTTTTCATTTATTGGATGCTATTTGTTCTCCGATAATTTTGTCAAAGTCTTTTATAACATTATTTTTCTAGTCCCTACAACATCGGCAACTTGAACATATATTATTTTATCAAAGTTAATTGTAATATTATATATTCTAATCTTTGTTATTACTAGGGTTGGAAACATGCAAACTGAGTTTTTGAGTATTCGAACTTGTTTATTAAGAATTAATCAAACTCGAGTTCAAGTCGAGCTTAAATAATCGACCTTGAGCTCGGCTCATCAAATATTTAACAAACTCGAGCTCGCTCGATTACATAAATGAGCTGAGTTCGAGCTGAAGTTCAAGCTTAAAAAAAAAAAAAAACTTAAATTAATTTACTTATTAAGATAAAAAATATATATAAAATTATGAGCAAAATATATAAGAATACTAATATTCATCAATCAAATATGTAAATTTACACAATTACCAAAGATTAATAGAAAAATAAAATAGATTATTGAAAATTTATTTGATATATTATTAAAAATAAATATTAATTTAGTTATTTTTATTTTGGTCACAAGCTTTATCAAGTTGAACTGAGCTTAGGCCTACTCAAATTTGGCTCAATTAACAAATGAGCATAAAAGTTAAGCTCGAGTTCGTTCATTTAGTAAATGAGCCAAGCTCAAACTGTTCATTTGCAGCCCTAATTATTAGCAAGTGCATGGGTTTGTGTTATTATTACCAAATTATTATTACAACTATCGTTATCGATGCTTAAAGTAGTGTCCTCATAAATGTATGCAGGCATGGGATTTTCCAGTTACTTAGTGGTTGGGCAGATGGACCTGAATATGCAACTCAATGTCCAATACTTCCTGGAAATTGCTACACTTATCGATTCACCATCACTGGCCAAGAAGGAACACTTTGGTGGCATGCACATGTCCAGTGGCTTCGTGCAACTGTTCACGGAGCATTAATCATCCGCCCAAGAGTTGGTCATTCGTACCCATTCCCAAAACCGCAAAAAGAATTTCCAATTCTGTTAGGTACATACCAACCCCTTTGTTAACTCTGCTTGAAATTTTCTCATGCTTCATTGTTGAGAATATAATATAAATAATAAAATTATCTCTCTAACAACTTACATTTTTAAATATACTGGTGGTCAATAATTTAATATACTATTAAAGCAAGCAATAGAACATAGATTCAAAGCTTATCATTTACTTGATAATTAAAATACTTGAATGTGTCTAGCCAGTTGATGGAGGAGAATTCGGCCACACATAAAGATGAGTATTGAGAATGTAATATTAAGAGGAAATATCATTTTGCGTCCCAAACTTTTATTTATTTTTCAATTTGACCCTCATACTTCAATTAATATCAATTTACACTCAAACTTTAGAAATTTTGATCAATTTGGCCCTTGTTGTCACATTCCGTCTACAATTGAGGAATGTGTTGACGTGGTACCAAAATTCATTTGAAATTTCATTTTACCTCCAAACAAACCTTAAAAATCAATTTGCCCTCCAAATTATACCTTAAAAATTAATTTGCCCCCCCTCATATCAGCACATTCCATCCAATTGTAGATGGAATGTGACGGCAAAGCCAAATTGATCAAAATTTTAAAGGTTTGGGTGTAAAATTGATACTAATCAAAGTCTGAAGGTCAAATTAAAAAATGAGTGAAAGTTTGGGAGATGAAATGATATTTTCTCTAATATTAATAATAAAGTTGTCCCTGTTCAAACCTCATCATCTATGTCATAAATAAAATATTTACTCGTGTTTTACCCGCTAATAGATAATATAATTTACATTATGAAGTTGCCCCTATTTGAACGTTACTGTCTACTTGATAATTAAAATACTTGCACGTGTTTGGTCTGCTAATGAAGGAGAACCTCGTCTACTTGGTAATTGTAATACTTTCACATGTTTGGCTTATTAATGATGGAAAACCCAATCATATATGGAAGGACATGCTGAGAATATAATATAAATAATAAAATTACAGTAGTGTTAAATTCACACAATTTCTTCCTCAAAAAAAAAAAAAAAAAAAATCCCTCGAATGAGCTGACAAGATAAAATGTATGCAAGGAGAGTTATGAGAGAATATTCAAGTGTGGGTCAACTTTTCAAATTTTAGTTGCTACGTCATTCGGGGAGATTTGAGAGAGAAATCGTGTGGATGAATCATTTTTCAATCTCTCTCTCTCTCTCTCTATGTTTAACTTTTTAAATAGGAAAATGATATAAAAATTCATTTTTTAGACTCACTTTCTAAACTCAGTGATGCATTAAGAAGATGATTGATGGATAATTATAGAATATTTAATTATCAACTAATCCATTTCTTGATACATTACTAGGTCTAGAAAGTAAATCTAACTTTTATACTTGAATAATAATGCTCTTTCAAAGAATACCAAAAAAAAAAAAAAAAAAATGCTCTTTTAAATAAGTTAAACAATTAATAATTTAATATTCATAATTAATACATTCATGACGATAGTCGACAATTTAACAGGTAACATGACCAAAGGTGGCCAATATAATAAACTTGTGACATGAGAATTAAAATTCCTTTATCTAGTTTTTTAAGAAAACAAATAAGATGCTTTTTAATTTTAAAAATTCTTAATAGTAATGGACAGTTGGACTATTGCTACTCATTAGGATTTCAAATATTTTTCTAATCCTTTGAAAGTCAATCCAACCAAATATTAACTACAAAAGCTTTATTCGTACCTCAAAATTACATATTTTATATAGATTAATATTTTATTCTTTTCTTTTGTACAGCCAATCTTGTTTGATTTATTCCTCTTTTCTGAAAATTTATTTTAGTTTTTTTTTTCATTGAAATTTTTAATATTTTAAGAAAAAAATTTAGTTTTTAGACATACCTAATATAAATACACTTACAAATTATAATATTTGTAAAAAAATCTTTACAAATTTCACTAAATACCAAAAATATCAACAAAAATACAAAAACTCAATACATTTTCGTATTCTTATGTATTTATTGATTTTTTTAAAATATTTTTTTACAAATATTTTATTTTTTAAGTACATCTAAGTTAGGTGTATCTAAAAAGTAAAAGATTTGGTTAAAATATTTAAAACAATTCACTAAAAATAAATAGAATTTTTACTAATGAATGTAAAATTTGTAATCTTGAGGTTCGAAACTTTTGGAATTAATATTTGGCTGGTTTGACTTCTAGAAGATTAAGGAAAACACATTTGTTGGTACTTGGTTTCTTTTTGATGTACTCTTCTCTTTACATTAAAGAAAGAAAGAAAAAACACATTTGTAATTTATAGAAGACTAGAAAAAAAAAATATTTGACATAGATTCACATCTCAAATGAGAAACATCAATTGTTGGTTATAGTGATTTTAATGTGGCTAGATTATTCAAGAGCTAACACTAGTCCTATCCATTAAATTGTGATTGCAGGAGAGTGGTGGAATGCTAATGTTATTGACGTTGAGAACCAAGGACTTGCAAGTGGTGGCGCACCCAACATTTCCGATGCTTTCACCATAAACGGCCAGCCTGGCGATCTATATCCATGCTCTTCAAATAGTGAGTAATAAGTAAAAAGTAACACTTCATGCTCCAACTGTGCATGTTGAGTTTCTAAGTTAGTTGGCTATCTGTCAAGTCTCAATTTTTACTTAACCAATCCCTAACTTTTAACATATGGTGATTTTTCCATTATTAGGAACGTACAAGATCAAGGTGGTAAAAGGGAAAACATATCTCTTGCGTATCATCAACGCTGCACTCAATAACCAGTTCTTTTTCAAGATAGCAAACCACAACATGACAGTTGTTGCCGTTGATGCTAGTTATACTGTTCCAATAGTCACTGACGTTGTTGTTATTGCACCTGGCCAAACCACCGACGTTCTCTTTACCGCCAACCAACCACCAGCCTCTTACTACATGGCGGCACTTGCCTATGCTAGCGCAGCAAATGTATCATTTGATAGTACAACCACCACTGGGATCATCATCTATGAGAATGCCACTCCATCAACCCCACAGATGCCAGTTCTACCGGCTTTCAATGATACACCAACGGCCTACAAGTTTTCTAGCAATCTAACTGGGCTTATGAATGGGCCTCACTGGACCCCAGTCCCACTTGAAATCGATGAACAGATGTTTGTGACAGTAGGCTTGGGCTTGGTAGCATGTGGAGGGACCACAAATGCCACTTGTGCAGGCCCACTCAAGCAACGATTAGGTGCAAGCATGAACAATGCGTCCTTTCAATTCCCTACCAAGTTATCGATGTTGCAAGCCTTCTTCAACAATGTTGATGGGATCTACACCACTGACTTTCCAAATCAACCGCCATTGATGTTTGACTACACAAATTCCAATAACAGCTTCAACATGTCCATCATAATGACAACAAAGTCAACCAAAGTCAAAAAAGTCAAGTTCAATTCGACTATTCAAATTGTGCTGCAGAACACAGCCTTTGTGGGTATAGAGAACCACCCTATTCACTTGCATGGATTCAACTTCCATGTGGTGGCTCAAGGGTTTGGAAACTATGACCCAATAAAAGATCCCAAAAAGTTCAATCTCATCAATCCGCAAATACGTAACACTATTGGTGTACCAGTCGGAGGTTGGGCTGTCATCAGATTTCAGGCAAACAATCCAGGTAAATTATGTTCAATCATGATTCTATCATCTTAATATGGTAGCTTAATTACTAATCAATTCTCTTTTTTAACACACTTTTCAAGGTAAGGATGCTCCATGTGTTTCACAAAATTTGTGGATACAATTTTAACAATATTCATGTAGATATTTAATTTTATATATAATGCACATATATATTGTATAAGAAACTAATTTATGTTTTTTGAAAAATTTGGTGGATATAGGTGTATGGTTGATGCATTGTCACTTGGATGTGCACTTGCCATGGGGACTGGCGACGGCATTTGTTGTTGAGAATGGTCCAACACCATCAACTACGTTACCTCCACCTCCTCCAGATCTACCCCACTGTTAGGAGTTGTTCTAAGATGCTTCTAATACTCTTGTTTTTGTTTTTATTTTTATGATTTCTTTCATTTCCACTATATTTTTTATTTTCATGCTTTCGTCCATTACAACAAATGTCTAATAAAGGTAGCCAAGGATTTATTCTTTCGACTTTGTATTAAGTTTGTATTCTTTGGAGTGAAATAATATTTTGAGTACTTAAAATCTTCATAGTTCTTAACAAGTGAAGTTACTCATTAACCTCTCGAAACCAAAAAGGAAAAAGAAAACAAATTTTGATTTAATTTAATTTTTGTATTTTTATTATTTATTTATTTATTTATTTATAAAACTGGTTCCAAATGAGGCCTTACTGTCATTTTCTAGTTTTGGCATCTAACTGAGATACCTTGATAGATAAGTGAACAATTATCCATCCAATATTGAGTAACTTTCTCCATTACCCAAGAAATTTGGTTGCATTTGAAAAGATGAGGAATAAATTATTTTCTCCTTTTTGAGCTCTTACTCAAACTCTAAAAGTCTATCTTATTATGAAGAAAAGAGTATCCACAAAAAAAAATATAAATGAGCATTTCTTGCAAACTATACTCAAAGAACATCTAGCATGCCACCATATATAAAATCGAGATAGTTGGAGAGTTGACAAAACACCATGCTTTTCGTCACAAAATCAATAAAATGGAAAAAATGGATTAGAATTTTTGGGCCTATGTTTGTTGCAAAAAGAATTGCACGCTTTGTTATGTACCAATTGATCAAAATGGTGTTTGCTTTCGTTCATGACACAGTCTTGTGAGTCGAATCCTAAATTAAAGTTATATCAGCTTCTTTTTTTTAGTGATTTTCTTAGGCAAAAGAAAAGAGGTCGTTAGCATCCTGATGACATGGGCCTTATGTAAATAATGTTGTGAGCTGATTGCCCTTTGAACCCATAAAAGAGAGAGACAATGAATCCTTAGAATATTTCGGGTCCAGCTCAGTATATTTCCAACATAAACCCGGCCCAGCCTTTCAATATAGACTCTTCTTTCATTCTTTTTGGGTCAAGGATTTGTGTTTGCACTACAAAAAAATTAAAGTTTTAGACACCAGAATTTAAGAACAAAATTATTTTTGAAGGACCAAATATTTTTATTATGAAAAGTGTCGTTATTATATTTTTAGCAACAAAAATTAAATATTAGTGATGAATTATTAACCTTTTGGGACTAAATTTTTTGTCTAAAAATATAAAATATTTTGAAACTAAATTATTTTGTCCTTAAAAGTATATTTATTAGTGACATTTTAAAATTTTGTCGTTAAAAGCCTTATTTTGGACTTTTCGGGATGACCTTTTAGCGACTATCTTCATGACGATAAAAATTGGTCTATAAATGTCTTTATAAGATGAGCTAATTTGGGTCCACTAAATTAATTAGGCCCAATAGTTGAAGGTTGGTAGGCCCGAATTTATCACAAGTCCAAGATTGGTGGGCCCGGATTTATCTCCATCAAATGGGCTGAATCGCTCTAAGCCTCGAAAGGGTTCGAATCCACGAAATTAGAGACTTACTCGGGCTCGGACTCGAAAGGGTTTGGATCCACAAACCTAGAGATCCGAAGCACCTGGCTTCGAATGGATTCAAACGCAATCTAGAAGTCACTCCGTTAATTAGTCCCAGAACACTTGCGGGCTCGGAGCTTTCCGGGATCTACGCACCAGAACCATGGGCGTAATGGAGTTCGAACAAAGGACCCGATCTCGAGGATGGTGAGTGGAGATAAATTCACTCTTCGATTAAACTAGCCTATACCTGGGTCAAGGTGGCACGACTCCGGGGGGTCTATGAGACTCGGCAATATTTAGCGGCGGGGGGGTCCTCTAGGACTACCTCGGCCCTTTGGGATGATTGGGGATCATTGGTTAGATGCGGCTAAGAAGAAGGGTTCGCCGTGAGGTTGATCTCCTCTTCGGAGTTTTCCTCATCCTCGGAGAGGTCACCTCCTCGGACAAGGTGGTTAGAGAGAATATTCCCCATGTGCCTTGCACATGGGCTCCATCCTACATCATGAGGTGTCTATAAATAGCACTCACCAATAGCTTTACAAGGGATGGATTTTGGAGAATTAACTCTTGGGAAAGAACTAATTTCCCTTCTCCATTATCAACCTTGAGAGTGAAAGTGGGAGATCTATGGGACAGCCTTGCCATTATTCTTTCTCTAGCCATTTTGCCTTCTTCTTCACCCAATCTCTTATCTCCATCATCTCTTTCACTTTTGTGTTCTTGAGTTGAGACTATTGAAGAATCTAAACCTCTTATCATCTTCTAGAGAATTCGAAGTTGTTCTTCAAGGATCTTCGAAAATCTTCGAATTTTCCAACGACGTTCTTGAACCCTCTCCTACATTTTGGCGACTTCACTGGGGAAGCGGATTGTTTAATGGTCTCAACGAGATCTGGAATCCACACAACTCCAACAAGGATGGCGAGAGAAGATGAAGTTCACCAACAAGGATCCTCTAATGGTGGTGATGACAGGACTATGGCTCCAGATCAACCACTTTTGCTTGAGGCCATTCAAGGACTTCAAAATACTCAACAGGAGATTCTTACCACTCTTCAGAATCTCACTTACACCATGTTGGCGATGAGTTCTAATTTTGTACCGGCGCCAAACGGAAATCAAACTGGTGGTGGAATTATTCCCACTGGAGCGCAAAATCAAATCCAAGGAGAAATAGACCCCAGTCAGCCTATGGCTCATGGCAACACGGCCACAGTAACACATGCTCAAACCACAGTAGGCGGCAGCAGTTTGCCCATGCCCGGGCTCCATGGCGTGCCAAGCCAAGATCCAATGGTGACTAGGGGAGGTTCTAGTGTAATGAATGGCGCTCCGGCAACTGTTGGTGTCCAGGAAAACATGAGGAGCATGATGGCGCAAAAGGGAGCTCTGCCCATACCTAATCTTGTTATGCCACCAGTAAATGTTACCCAAGCACCAAGCGGGCCTCCTTTGGTGTCGACAATAAATTTGCAAGCACAACCCGGTATAGCGGCAACGTGCGGTGGACTTTACGGGCCTCAATTCAATATCCCATCACCAACTGGCTTGTCTATAGGCGCTGATGGCCAGTATCGTCAAATGTCCTTACCAATGATGAATTCGCAGCACCAGAATGGCCAAGTCGCCCCTAGCTCAGTCTTCGGGTCTATAAGCCAAGTTTCGGGAATACCACCATTAAACTCTCTCCCTCAACAGTTTCTCTCTCTCGTTGATGTGTAGGCCAAGTTCGATCTCGAATGGGGCAAGATGACCTTACCCTCTTTGCCTGATCCAGACGTCAAGCCGTCTTACCCCATTGAGATGCTGAGCTATCTATACCCTGAGGGGTATACAGTGCCGAAGTTCATCAAGTTCGATGGCAAACAAGGAAATGCTCGAGAACATGTTGTGTGATTTATCGAGACTTTAGGTATTCATAGTTCAAACCACGTCCTCCGGCTGAGAGAATTCTCTAAGTCCCTCACCAATCGAGCATATAGTTGGTATGTTAATTTGGCCTAAACTCTGTCCAAAGTTGGGAGGAAATGGTTAACAAATTCCACTCTAAGTTTTTTCAAGTGGCGGAGAAGGTGACCACACTTACGTTGTGTAAAGAAAAGCAGCAGGAAAGTGAAGACATCCTTGACTACGTCAAAAGGTTTCAGGACAAGGCCGTGGATTGCCATGAAACAGTGGAGGAGAGTTATCTGGTTCAAATCTGTCTAGAAGGGGCATTGAGCAGGTACAAAATATTTCTAGTTAATCACAAGCTACCCACCTTCTCGGCATTAATAGAAGCAGCTCGGAACATTAGCATTCCTCAGGCACAAGAGTCCGGATTTAAGGCCAGTTACAAGACTAGCTTCAAATCGTCTCGTGGACCTATTGTTGCTTCTACCTCTGCCCCAGATACCCGAAAGTCACAAGGTGGAAGTCATAGAGGCCAGAAGAGAAAGCAATATAATGGTGAAAAGGGGAATGTTTCTTATCCATGTGGAATCGAGGAAGTAAAAGCTCTAGTTAAGGAATGGGTGGCTGACGGAGAGCTAAAATTGCCTTATGTCGAAGAAATGCCATCAAAAAAGGACCGTGAGAGCCCTGAATTTTGTGTTTACCATCGTACATTGAAACATCCGACAGAGAAGTGTTGAACTCTCAGAAAAATCTTCAGAGATAAAGTCGAGGCAGACGAATTGAGGTTCAAAAAGCAAGGGACTCAAGATATCCAAGAACAACTATATCCTCAGCACCGAGACAAGGGCAAGAATGTTGCTATGATAGCTTATGAAGGCCCGATGATTGAGGCTATCGCCAATCTCGATGACGATGATTATTATCTGGACAACATCCTCGAGCCCGAGGGTGAGCAAGTTTACTACGGAAGTGCTCTCGATCCAGAGGGCAGAACCTTCACAACTCATGTCGACGATCCCTTTGATCCAGAAGGAGGAGAAGAGTACTACAGAAGAGGAGGACACCATATTTATGTGGCATCTTATTTTGAAGAGACCGAGGAGATGGTTAACTACAAGCCTCCAAGAGTGGAAAAAGATCCGGATCACTATGCCAAAACCTTGCAAGACTGTGTAAAGTTCAAGCAATTCTTCGACCAGCTTGGACTTTCCAGGGAGGCAAGAACAAAAATCACCAAGTCTATCATCAATATAGCTGAGGCACACCATGAGGGATGCATGTCGACCGAGGGATCTATTCCGAGGAAGGCAAAAGAGCAATCTAGTGCCATTACTTTCTCCGAGACTGATCGGAAGTATCCATTTTCTCACAACCGCCTGCTTTATGTGACTGTTTTTATTAGCGGGGTTGAGTTCAAAAGGGCCTTTCAGGACAGCGGAGCCTTTATCAACATTATGACTCGCGTTACTCTAGAAAAGGCCCGAATCCCTGAAGAGCGCATTGTGAAACAGCCGATAGTCATCATTGGCTTTGGTGGAGAATGGAGAGTTACCATAGGATGTGTAACAGTTGATTTAGCCGTCGAAGAGATTCGCTCGGCCACCAAGTTCCATATTATTGACTCCGAGGCAAATTATCACATCATTCTAGGGAGGACCTGAATGCATAGATATGGGGCAGCACCGTCAAGTTATCATCAGTGTGTTAAGGCTAAATGGGAAAAGAAGACGGTGACAATTCAAGCTACAGAAAGGCCTTTT